GGCTCGCTGGATGCAGAAGCAGACAGCGGCGTCTCTACCGATGAGACTGACTCTGCTGAGCCTGCCAAGCTGCCAAGGACGTGGCCCAAGAGAGACTCTGGTCCCAGGGGTAAGCTGGACCCTTCTGCTCCAGCCCTTGGCTGCCAAGGGACTTTCCCACCTGGGTCCCTTCCCTTGGCAGGCAGGGAAGGATCATTGCCCCAGTTTTCTTCATGTGCTAAGCTAAAGCCCATTTATTTTTCTCTCTCCGTGAGTGAGAGGCGTCTGCAGGCAATGAGGTGCACAGGGCACAAACGCATTTTTCCAGTCCTTCTCGCAGGCAGGGGCTGCTAGCAGCTATCTAAGAAGGGAACGGGAGCTGCAGGGCAGAGCACCTTGGCTTATGCTCTGACCAGGCGCAGACTTACCCAGCTGAACGGGGCTCCTCGTTCAACACGCGTTTTGTCAGGTCCAAAGTGTCTGACTTTCTTAGCAGCCAGAGTGCTTTAGCTGGGGGCAGGGTGCTAAGCTCTCTGGGCATGAGTCTTTTGCCACAGCTGCTCTGCCTTGCCAGGCATGAAATGGTGCGTTTGGTCACAGCAAAATACCCCGTAGCCGTATGCAGAACGGTGCATGACTTAACGTATTTCTCTTTGCCTAGATTTGGAAAAGGGGGCTCCCGCGCAAAGCACAGGCCAGCAGCGTGCAACCGAACAAAAAAGCGAACAAAAAGCGAGCGCCTTCTCCAGCTCTGCTCCGGCAGCGTTTTCAAGTCCGGGCTATTACAGTCTTCCAAGGAATATCGCTGCAGCGAACGCGCAAAGAGCAAACAAAGCTTCTGACAGCAAAGCAACTGCCCACGCCATGGGGGACCCAGTGCCAAAAGAGAAACCTTGGCAGGAGACGGCCAGGGAGGAAAGGCTGGATCAAGCCAGCGCAAGATCCCAGGCGAAGCCGCTGGGCTCGATAATTATCCAACCTCCCGAAGCTTTCCAGGAGGCCGTGGCGGCGCGCGGGGGGCTCTTGCTCAGCAGGGGCTCGGATGGCAGCAGGGGGAAGGCAGAGCCCGAGAGCCGGGCTGCGGCGCCAGACCCCGGCCCGGAGAGGGAAGGCGCAGCTCTCGCCCGAGGCCTGATGGAGAAACCAGCCTTAGAGGAGGATTCGGACGCCAAGCGTGGGCCTCCCACCGCCCCCAAGCCGAGGAAGCTGCCGCCCAAAAACACCATCTCAGCCGTCTGCCACCTTCCCGGCCAGCTGTGCCACCGCCGAAAAGCCGAACCCAGGGCACCTGGACCCTAAGGAGAGGGAGAAGGCTCGCCGGGAGGCGTTAGAGAAGCTCGGGCTCCCTCAGGATAAAAGGGAGCCCAATATCCCCCTTAAAGCTGTTACTTCGCCCAAACCAAAAGAGGCGCCTGGAGCTGCGAGGAGGGACAACGGCACCAGTGAGGACGCGGCTGCCATCACGGCTGCCGGAAGCCCGAAGAGGAGCACCAGGTGCTCCGCGGCCCAACAGAGAGGGTCGCCCCGGGCGCGAGACAGGTCAGCTTCAAGTCCAACACCCTGGAGCGCTCCGGCGTGGGGCTCAGCAGCTACATCTCCAGCAAGGACCAGAGCGTTAAGAGCAGCAGCTCGCTCGGCAAGATGTCCTTCATCGAGAGGATAGCGCCAAGCTTCCTCCGGAGCAGCCGCCCTCGCCCGGCCTCCCTCGGGACGGGGAAAGACTTTGCCAGCCTCAAGGAGCCCAACAACGCGGAGCTGGAGAAAAGCAGCAAGCGGAGATCCCACCCGCTGCCGAGCTTCTCCAAGCCGGCCCGCTCCTCCTGCGTCAGCGTCAAGATCTCCCCCAAGGGCGCCACCGAAGAGCACAGGCGAGAGGCTCTCAAGAAGCTCGGCCTGCTGAAGGAGTAGCTCCCGCTCGGCGCCCTGGAGCGAAGCGTGAGGCCATGGTAGCAGAGCCTGTCGCCCCGATCCCGGCCCCTCGGCCACCTTTCTTCCTGCGGACAACTACGAGCGTCCCCGGCTGACGGGATCCCTTGCCCCTAGCCTCTCGGGGGGGACGGACCTGAGCTGATGCTGCCACCAGAGGTGTTCAGAGCTTCTTGCCAAATAAAGTCACATCACACGTACATCACGCTTTGTATATAGCATGTGTATACAAGTTATTTATATAAAACAGCAGGTAGCGTGCGCGGGGACACGTATTCCCCTGCACGGCCGGGAATGCATCCGGGGATCGGCCGCAGTGGGGAAGCTATGGATTCTGGGACGGGGCTTATTGTAAAGACGGTTGCCTACGGATAAAGCCTCCCTGCAACGAGCTGCAGGACTCCACCGCCCGCTCCGCGATCCTGCAGCGGTTTTTCCCGTTTACTTGCTCAAAAGCCTCCGGGGGGCCAAGCGTTCGCCTGCATCCCAAAAGCCGCAGCAGCGACGCGGGAGCTGTCGGGAGCCGGAGGGGGCCCCCGGCCTCCTCCCGCGGGGCTGTCGCCAGATCCAGCCCCCCACAACCCCCGAACGTCCCACTTACAGATAAATAAGGCCTATGGACTTTGGTGTTTGTTGTGGAAGGACAGTTAAGAAGCGACAGCTCGTGCTACGCGGCAGAATCAGAACCGCTGCCCGGAAGGAGGGAGAGATGAAACCCGGAGGCAACGCTGACTATTTTCTTCCCTTTCAAACCTCGTATTTGTTTTTTTAATACCCAGCTGATGCTGTCAAATTTCACACCGTGCACCTTTTACAACAAAGGTGTGTTTTATTTCTGCAATAAACTTTTATATGATTAGAAAAATGACTGTCTAACGGCAGAGTCACCCTTGCGTTGCAGTCAAAGTGCCGGTAAACGGACGCGCTTTAACCTTAAACGTCTCCCAGAGCCGGGGAGCAAGCGCCCTGCTCTGCGCCGCCGGGCTGATCTAAACCCTCCCAACGCCATAAGCGGGTGCGAAAGTCCGACGCGGCTCTGCCGGCCGGGCTAGCACAGCCTCCGGACCTTGCCCGCGCC